GCCTGGCTTCCCAGGCTCAGTTGCAGGCGCCCGGGTTGGGTGCTCAGTCCGTTTCCGACAGGGTAAGGGTGGGGGGAAAAAAAAGGAATTCTGGGACTTCTTTCGACCCGAAGGTCCTCAAGGTCCTGCAACACCGCCTCCCAAACTCCTGTCGGGAGGCTTGTTTTACTGGAAAACTGAGGGCTAGTGGACAACCCCCTTTGCGCATTGTTTGGGATAGGGCCTATCACCTGGCGAGGTGTGTCGCCTGCCTCTTCCCCACCCCCTTTTCCACCAGAGAACTTAGATGTTCTGTGTGAAACACACCCTCCACCTTCTGAACTTTGAAAATATATTAAAAGAATACAAAGAAGTACAAAGGAAGGCGTAAGAATTCAGGACTTTAGGAGTCTTGTGGTTGGGAGGAGCGATTTTAAAAAAATCATGCTGAGTTTGGAGTCTGGTCAGGCTGTTTGAACTTTTTGTTGCTGTTCAAAAAGCTTCCCAGGCAATTCTGATGTCCAGCTAGGCCTGAGGGACTCTTGTATAGTCCTAAATAACAGTAGTAATGACAAGAGCTTTCCGAGTCTAGAACCCACAAGGGAAATCAAAGCATAAAACTTCGACTAAAGATGAAGAAATAGAAGTACAGTCATTCTGACCACGAAGGGATGCTGAAGTATAGAGAAAACATGAACAGGTGCACAGGGAGTCACACTAAACTCGAAAAGGAAGACCATCAAAAATGAACGATAGACTAGAGAGATGTCTATAGGTTAAGTGTACTGGCTGCTCTTGTAGACAACCCGGCTTCAATTCCCAGCACCTATATGGCAGCTTACAACCATATTGACTCAAGTTCTGTTGCTGTCTTCTGGCCTCTTCAGGCACCAGGCACTTATGTGGTATATATACATGAATGCAGGCAAAGCACCCAAACACACTTTAGAAAATTAACCAGAAGAAATGAAAAAGAAAATTATGACAAAGATAAACAGTTAGGAGTACTGGGTTTAGGAAAGGGATTAAAATAGCATCCAATAACTTGCAGGATAGGGAAATAGTCATGCTGAACATTTGGAGGATGTGTTCAAAGCTCTGTTTTCTATTTATAAGCTGAAAAGTGAGGGAGAAATCCAAAGGCTGATGGAGAACAGTCTATTGAGCAGATATGCTTCCTTCTGGAGTGTGGTGACCTAGATGTTAGCTACAGCTTACTGACCTCCACTTAGACCTATTTGCTAGCAAGTGTGACCTTAAGCACGTGGGTTGATTCTCAGGGTTTCACAGTGATGCCTGCCTAGAGCCCCAGCTATTTGGGAGACTGAGGCAGAAGGATACCTTTAACCCAACAGTTCAAGGTCAATCACTGCAATGCAGAGAAACCCAACTGGAAAAATAAAAGGACGCGCGCGCGCGTGCGCGCGCGCGTGCGCGCGCGCGCGCACACACACACACACACACACACACACACGTGGCACTTAGTAAGAAAGCTATTGCCAGCCCCACTGAATAGGACTGGAATTTCATAGTACTTTTGAGGTTGTATTAAAATCTTTGAAAAGACTATTTTAGAGGGAAAACTTCACTCATGAAAGTTCATTATCTGGGTTCTTTATAAAAATAAAAATAAATAATATACAAGGCTGACAAAATGTCTCAGCACTAAAGTATGTTGTTAAGCCAGATTGCTTGAGTTCAGTCCCTGATGTCTACATGGTGAGAGGGGAAGCCACCTCAGGCCCCAAAATGATTATCATCTTTGCACCACCCTAATGATATCATCCAGCAAGCTGTGACCTGGACCTCTTGATTGAAAGCTAAAGCAGAGAGTTTCTGCCCTCCAGTCTTCTCACACACTTCTTACCTCTTTCAAATCTGCCAGTAAAGCTAGAAGAAGATTCAGAATCCCCCACCAGAATAATGAGGTGCCAGAGGTCTCAAAATATTACCAGGCAGAATGGCCCAGGAGTCTTGCCCACCTGCATGTGTGAGTTGGGAGGGAGGGCTATAGTCTGCATTTGTGTTTTTCTTTTACTGCTCTAGTCAGTGTAAGTGGGACTTCAATACATTATTAGGGTCCCAAGATTATAGGCCTGGCAGCTGCCCTTGCCTTTCCTTGGCTTTGGATTGGAGGCTGTTGGAGTGGCTACAGCACACAACTGGGGCTGATCATCTCATATCAGCTGTGATTCTGGGAGAGCTGGATGACACTTCCATGTAGGTGCAGCAGTAGGGGCAGGCTGGACTGTTTCTGGGTGGTGTAACCCAAGAGAGCGTGGCCATGCTTCCACTGCTGGTTGCTCTATATCAAGTGCTGGTGGTCAGGTTGTGCGTCCTGATTGGAACTTGGCCTTGATATTCTTAATGATGTCACTGGGGTGGACTTTGAAGGTGATGGTGTTGCCTGTCAGGGTTTTCATACACATATGTATCTTGGTGTCCTCATTTGATGTTTATATATATGGGTGTTGTCTGCATGTCTGTCTCTGCACCATGTGCATGTCTGGTGCCAGAGAGGATGTCATATCTCCTGGAACTGGAACTAGTGTCTTCTGGAAGAACATCTAGTACACTTTTTTTTAAATTTATTTATTTATTTGTTATGTATACAGTGTTTTGCCTGCATGTATGCCTGCAGGCCAGAAGAGGGCACCAGATCTCATTATAGATGGTTGTGAGCCACCATGTGGTTGCTGGGAATTGAACTCAGGACCTCTGGAAGAGCAGCCACTGCTCTTAGCCTCTGAGCTATTTCTCCAGCCCACATCTAGTACTCTTAATGACTGAGCCATCTCTCCAGCCTTTGACATCTCTTTGTTGCCTCCTTGGAGAGATAGAGCTGCAGTCTGCATTTGTAACAAGTTGTTGAGCTCATAACTAAAGTGGTAAAGTCTAGACGTGAGAATAATAGACTCTTGGTTCAGATCAGTGACTTCATTGAATAGCTGTGGCTGTGGGCATGGGCAAAAGCTGAGAGTTTTGTTTTTCTGCAAAACAGAAAATAACCTTATTACGTGGGGACTACTCAGTTCCGTGTGGGTTACCTCCTCATACACTGGATGAGTGAGGCTGAAGGGACCTCAGACCTCAGGGCGTTGCACACGTGAGGCATTGTGCTGGATTCCATCATGTTCTAGCCTGTAGGTATTTGGGAAGCGCTGATACTGTGCTGTTTTGTCTATTACCCTCAGGTGCTTTTTTTTTTTTTTTTTTTTTTTTTTTTTTTTTTTAAATTTTCTGATCCTTTTCAGATGTAGATGAAAAGAAGAATGTGGAGCTGAAGATGGATCAGGCTTTGCTTCTCATCCACAATGAACTGTTGGGAACAAGCCTTACTGTATACTGGAAATCTGAATACTGCTACCAAGTATGTATTATATGCATCCTCACCATTTGCTTTGGGCCTTTCTGGATGTGCTCTTCTAATGTTCTCAGACCCAAGCCCCTTTCTTGTTCCCCTCTGATTTACAGGTAAGGAAACAGTATATAATAAAGAACTAGATGGAATATGATAGAGAGGGAGAATAATTGGCACTAATTGGTATCTCTTCCTTATCCTTTCTTTAAAAAAAAAGTCTTATTGAGTACTGCTAGGCCACATGTAGCAGGGATTCTTACTAAAATTAAGATGATTTTTGTTTTGTTTTGTTTTGTTTCTCAATGTAGCCCTGGTTGTCCTGGAACTCTCTCTGTAGACCAGGTGGCCTCAAACTCAGAGAGATCCACCTGCCTCTGCCTCTTCAGTTCTGGAATTAAAGTTATGCTCCACCAACTAAGATGATTATTCTTCTCCAATAATTTCGCTTTTGGAAATTTACATTAAGGAAAGAATTTAAGAGTAAGAACCTCATGTGCAGATATTTTTAAACAATATGTTATATGACAAAAATGTAAAACTACAGTAGAAAAGCTTTGAAGACATAAATACCCATAGTTATTGTAGTTGGTGATACATGTACATTAAATAGAAACATGTAACATAGGATCCTGTAAATTTAATTGTTAAATAATATTCATTAAAATAATAGAATGCAAGATTTAATATAGGCTGCATTTATTAACTTATGAAAAGCTTACCTATGAATAAAGATTGTTCAATTCCATCCTGGAAGTCATTATTTTAATATAAAATGGGTAAATTTTATCTGAATTACTGCAGCTTAAGTTTTTTAAAGTACAAGGAAGAGTTAGGATTTTTCTCTTGGATATTGTGTCCCCTAAACACTAAAGAGACTTTCAAGACCCATAACAGGACGAGCTGTGTAGTTTATGGTAAAGCACCTGCCTAACAGTACAAGGCCATGGCTTTGATCCCCAGAACTGCCAAGTGACAATAGCAGTCACTCTGACACTGTGTCTATTGGCTTTTGTCTCCACAGTGCATCTTCCAGCCTCTGGCAAATGTCTCTCACAGCGGCAAATCTGCAAAGCCAAACGTTGCAGCCGTCTCTGTCAACACCCATCACGGGATCATCCTACAAGTTAATTATACCTGGGGAGAGACAGCAGCTTGTAGGTCTGTGCCTGTTCATCATGGTCTAACTTGAGTCTGCTTTTTTTTTTTTTTTTTCTACATGGTTTTTGTTTTTCCTCTCTTTATAACATTTTTCTTAATCTTCCCAATCTTTATATAAAAATTCATATAATTTCTTGTTAATGGTGTTAGCAGAGTAGTTCTCAACCTTCCTAATGTTGTGATCCTTTAATACAGTTCCTCTTGTTGTGGTGACCCCAAAGCATAACATTATTTTGTTGCTACTTTGTAACTGTAATTTTGCTGCTGTTATGAACTGTAGTGTAAATATCTGATATGTAGGGTAACTGATAATCCACTCCATGGGGTCATGATCCACAGGGTTGGAAACCACTGGTCTAGCCCCTTATTTACTAATGTAACCATTGGCTTTTATTTTACCTTCTCTTTTTAGGCTGGAATACAAATTTGGAGAATTTGGAAACTATTCCCTTTTGGTACAGCATGCCTCCACTGGAACCAGTGAAATTGCCTGTGACCTAGTTGTCAATGAGAATCCAGTTGACAGCAACCTTCGTATGTATATGTTTCTTTGGTAGTCTGTTTTCAAAGTTCTCAGTCTTATATCTAACACTTCATGATGTGTTCATTAATTTAAAACATGGGTTGCATATTATCTCTACCATTTATTTATGGGACAGCTATAGTTTCTTTTTGATGACAGAGATTAAAATCAGGACCCTACTAAAGTGTGTGCTCTGCCATTGGCCTATACCTAATCCCAGTTTGATGTTTTTACTGTGTCATAGATGTATACTAAGAAAATTATGTGACACATCACCGTATTTTGATATTGCTGGGTTTAAGCACATGTTTTTACAAAGCACACGTTTTAAAAAGTCAATACAGTGGAAAGAAACTAGAAATAGGGCAATTCACTTTCATTTTGGGGGTTTAGGGCATAATGTTTCCTGGGAGTCTTGACACTGACAGCTCCTGAGGTCCGCTCACAGAAAGGGACATAATTTATATTCTTATAACTCCACTGCAGAACATCTGTCACCTTGAGTCCTCTCTAGATATTTCTGTGTGATGCTCGTTAAGGGATGGCAAGGAATCTTTGTGTCATTAGTAAGTTCTATTCACAGAGAGCTAAGAGTGATGTCATTTAAAAGAATGTACAGCTATTACCAAAGGGGCAATGTGGGCAGCTTAAGCAGTTAAAATGAGGCCCAACAAGATAACTCAGCAGGTAAAAGCACTTGCCAAAAGCCTGAGGATCCAAGTTCAGTCCCCTGAGTCTCACATTGTAGGAGAGACTAGACTGTTACAAGTTGTCTTCTGACCTCCACACATGCACAGTGCAGCATTCATACATAAACATACCAAGAAAAATAAATATAAAAACAGTTAAAAAGTAATGAATGTCACTGATGAAAAAATAACATAAAAAGAGCCAGGCGTTGGTGGTGCACGCCTTTAATTCCAGCACTTGGGAGGCAGAGGCAGGCAGATCTCTGTGAGTTCAAGGCCAACTTGGTCTCCAGAGCGAGTGCCAGGATAGGCTCCAAAGCTACACAGAGAAACCCTGTCTTGGAAAAAAAAGAAAAAGAAAAGAAAAAAATAACGTAAAAAGTATTAAAGCTGCAGGGTTATTAATGAAACAAAGAAGACAAAAATAAAAACAATACTTAAGCTGCCTTTGGAGTAACAGGGGCACTTAATATGGTAATTAAAAATTGTCAGCTTAAGGACCAGTGAGATTGCTCAGCAGGAAAGGTGCTCGTGGCTAAGCCTGACACTGGAACCCACTCTTTGCTGTGACACCAAATACACAGGCTTTTGCCATTAAATTCATGTCATGTGGTCAGCAGGAGGTGCCTCCTCAATGTGTACATGTCTCACGTGTACCTCCTCAGTATGAAAGATTATTAGTAACATTGAATGACACTGCTTGTGAAAAAGTTTCAGGTTTAAAGAAATGTTACAAAAGTTTTCTGAATACCCTTTTTCGTAAATAAGGAAGATCCTAAAAGAGACAAACTTTGTCCCTTGGAGAAGGGGAAAGGGTCACCATCCCCTGAACAAATTTAGAACATGGGAAGAGGGGGGAGGAAGCTACAAGAGTGAGAAGGGAAGAAAAGGAAGGATGCAGAGGTCATGAGGAAGCAGAAATTTAAAATCAGGTATAGATTAGAAGAAAGGACATATGACAGGTAGGATTTTAGTTGGGGGGGGTGGTAGAGGAGGAAGGGAGGGAGAAGGGAACTGTGATGGTCATGTAATTCAATCTTGTTTGTAATTCAAATATAAAAAAATAAATTATTTTTACTTAAAAAAAAAGAATACCCTTTATCTAGCTCTGTGTATGTCCTTAAACTATATAATCATACTATAATTATACTGTATATAATTATTGGGACCAGGAACTTAACATTTACATAGTACCAATCTGTAGACATTTAAACTTCCCAAGTTGTCTTTTTTTTCCATTTTTTTATTTGAATTAGAAACAAGATTGTTTTACATGTCAATCCCAGTTCCCTCTCCCTCCCCTCATCCCCTAGTACTCCCCCAACTAAAACCCTACCTATCACATATCCTTTCTGTCCCCCCCCCCAAGTTGTCTTTTTTTTAACATACATTTGGTTTATTTATTGTGTCGGGGGTGCTACAGTCTGAATGTTGTAGAGTCAAAGGACAACTTTGGGGCTTTTGTTCTCTTCTTCTACCATGGGGTTTCTGGGGTTGGAACTCAGGTTTTCAGGCTTGGTGGCAAGGGCATTTATTGCTGAGCCATTTTCCTTAGTGTTATTTCTCTCATTCAGGATTTAATCTAGGATCCTAGATCTAATCTAGTTGCATTTAGTTGTCAAAGCTGCTTTGTCCCCTTTGCCTTCCTTTGTCTTTCATGACCTTGATGGTTTTGAAGAGAACTGACTGTTTAGTAGACTGACCCTGTTGGACGTTTTCTCATGAATAGGTAGAGGTTTTCCATCTGGGGGTAGAAAACATCTCAAGGAAGAGAGTTGTATTCTCCTCTATGTGGTATGACAGGAGACATATGAGGTCACAGACCCTCTGCAGGATCTATGTATGTTATGAACACACTGAAGGACATAGGGATGAAATGACACAATGTCTGGGGTTTAAAATATGTTAGCAAAACAAGGAGAAGGGACTTAATAGGGGGAACTTAGCAATACCATTTTTGTTTTGCAGAAGATAGAACCCAAGTCCTTGAAAATGCAGCGTCAGTGTTGCACTGCTGAGCCGAGTCCCCAGCTCAAAGGGAGACAGGCTTTTGATAACAGTAATAAATCATTCAGGAGCTGAGTGGTGGGTGTGTTGGGAGTATATCATGCAATGCCCCTGCATGCTCCATTCTTAATTGTTTATATAGCATTTAACACGAGAATGTGAGCTTTGCTCATATTTGCTCCAGCTGTCACTGCGAGGGTCATATGATCCCCAACAGCTTTGATACTTATGATAGCATTTTGAGGATAATGTTTTGTTTTTTTTCTTTACAGCTGTAAGTATTGCATTCCTTGTTGGTCTAGCAATCATCATCGCAATATCTTTCCTGAGGCTCTTACTGAGGTAAGTTGTTGAGGAGAGTATGACTGGGAAACATAGGCCCAGAAATAATGTAAGAAAGGGTCATTTGGCCCTCAAGGGACCGTTATGTCATCTCAGGACAGTCACCAAAAGCAAACACACATAGATGACCATTATTCTTTGTTTGGCGAATGTTTGTGCATCTGCCGTGTCTATTCCAGTCATGGGCAACGGAGCAGACTCTAAGGTAGTCTCTGGCCACAGGCCATGCTCGTGAAGATGCAAATGGGTTTTTGCCTTCCATTCTCACAACATGGCTGAAGACAAAGATGCTTTAGAAACATTTAGTTCCTAAAGAATCTCCTGGATTGTTTTAGTTAGTAGAGGCGGTTTATAATACCTTTAGGAGAAGGCTGCCACACTGGGTTCTCCTCCACTTCTCTCCTTCTGAGTCTTTTTTTTTTTTTTTAAGATTTATTATGTATAATCTTCTGTCTGCATGTCAGCCTACATGTCAGAAGAGGGCACCAGATCTCATTATAGATGGTTGTGAGCCACCATGTGGATGCTGGGACTTGAACTCAGGACCTCTGGAAGAGCAGCCACTGCTCTTAACCTCTGAGCCATCTCTCCAGCCCATCCTTGTGAGTCTTGATGACCCCTCCACTCCAGCTTTCTCTGCTCCCTGTTAGGAGTCTGGGGGCCAAAGAGCCACACAAGGGCAGCATGTAGCCCAGGACCTTAGCATGGACTGGCTTTCCTGTGGGTAGAAGCTTCTGTTTGAGAGGGCATTTGCCTTTCCCTGACTGCCTAACAGTGATTCTGGTGGGTGAACCAGTAGACAAGACAAGAAAAATAGAGCAAACTAGATCTAGGCTAGTTTAATCAATGGAAGATTTAATTAATTTATTCTTAAAAAGTAGTGTGTATGTATTTGTGTCTGTCTCTCTGTGGGTTTGTCTTTGTGTGTGTGTGTGTGTGTGTCTGTGTCTGTGTGTGTGTGTCTGTGTCTCTGTCTGTGTGTCCTCACAGAGGCCAGAGGCATTGGATCCCCTGGAGCTGGAGTTAAGGTAGTTGTGAGTCACCCAAGGTGGGTGCTGGGACCCAAACTCGGGTCTTCTTTAAGAACAGTATACATTCTTAACTGCCCTTTAATCAGCTTTAAAGGAAAGTTCTTTCATGTTTTAAAGGGAAGAAGGATGGTCATTGTCACATACACGCATGTGGCCCCAACAGTTGGGAGGTAGAGGAAGAAGGATCTGGAGTTTGAGTTCAGAGCCAGCCTTGGCTCCATAGTGAAACTGGTCTTAGAAAGGAAGGAAGGATGGGAGGAGAGAGAGACTGCGTTTTCACATGTTCATCCGTTAGGGTCTTGGGTCTCCTGAAGGACCACAGACTTCATTAGTAATCTGTGTTCTGTAACAAGTTTCTCTGGCTCACCAGCCAACTCCCAAATAATGACACAGAGACTTCTTAGTAATTATGAAAGCTTGGCCTATAGTTTAGACTTGTTCCTAACTAGCTTTTTGTTTGTTTGTTTTTCTTTTTGTTTTTTGAGACAGGGTTTTTCTGTGGCTTTGGAGGCTGTTCTGGAACTAGCTCTTGTAGACCAGGCTGGTCTTGAACTCACAGAGATCCTCCTGCCTCTGCCTGCTGAGTGCTGGGATTAAAGGCGTGAGCCACTACTCGGATCCTAACTAGCTCTTACAATTTAAATTAGTTCATTTGTATTAATCTGTGTTCTATCACGTGGTACTATCTCTTTTCCATCTTACACCTCCTGTTTCCTCTTTGTGCCTCCTGGTGTCTCCTGTCCCTCAATTCTTCCTCCTCCTCTTTTCTCTCCTTGGAAATCCCACCTATACCTCCTGCCTAGCTATTGGCCATTCAGTTCTTTATTGAACCAGTTGTCCCGACCTGCAGGACATCAACATGGGACAAGAGAGTCAGGGATAGGGAATGGGGACAAGAGACGCAGAAAGAACAACCACAAGACAGGATTCTGATCAAGTGGCAAACTTTACTTTTCTCAGGCTAGCTTATATAGTCAGCAGAGCAGGATATGTGGAGGGGCAGAATGGGGTGTTTGTACACCAGGTGTTAGTATAGGCAGGATATTAGGAAGCCACAAAGAGGATGTTTGGCAGGGTAAAGAGTTCATGAGTAAGAGGTCCAGGAAGGGCTGCCTAGGTGACTGAGCCAGTGGGTGGAGGACTGGGCCAAGTTGTTTCTTTTCTTGAGCTGAGGTTCTAAGGAGCTGCTATGTAAAGGTTAACTATGTGGCATGCCAAGCATGGCCTAGGATCTCATGCCAAGCCCTAAGATTTGGCTTCTAACAACCAACCACAGCAATATATCTTCACACAGTATACAAATATCCCACAACAGTGTTTAAGTTGGAAGAGTGAAAATATAACTTTAGTTTGGCTGCCTCGAGGGAGCTTATGTAATCCAACCTTCTAGCTTTGTGGGTGTTTGAAATTGCTTCATCCCATGTCTAAGAAACATGACCATATATTAGTAAAAGGGTCACTTGCTGCTTGGGCATGAACATTTGACTCAACAACTTCCCAGGAAGAAAGTAGAAGTCTCGCTGTTTGGTTTCTTTGGAGTCAGGTGTTAGCTTGTCAATCTTGTTATGCTGGACTTGCTGTTATAATATAGCAGTGTGCTTTCTCTTGGTGCTTTTTGTGTGAATGGTTCTGCCCTTTCTCTCCATAGTAAAATAACTGGAATGAGCTATTTGCAAGGAGGAGCATTCATCTTGTCCTCTTTCCCTCTATGTAATTGAACTAATCTTGCCTCAACTAGGTGGCTAGACTGAATGCTCTGGCAGGAGGGGAGCTGAAGGCCATCCCTTGCCCTATTGTTTCCCAACATACCTGTGTAAGTTAAAGGACATTTCATAGGCCAAAGATGTCCCCATCCACTTGGAGAAGAAACAGTCAAAGTTAAGTGTTTATTTTTAAGCATTTCAACTTCTCCATTTGGTGCTTCCTTGAATGTGTCTATTTTAATGTCTACACGTGATGGTGACATGAGCAGTGCTGTGTCGACCAGAAATGGTCCTGGTTTGTAAGAGGGACTACAAGTATTAGCTGTGTGGGAAGTATTAGCTGTGTGAATTGTATGTGGGGCTGATTTGAACAAGTGTGAAGAACATCTATAAGCTGGCAGTGTGAAGAAAGCAAGGAATATTGCTGTCATTTGAAATGCAGTAATAGGAAAGGCTATTATTGGTGGTACTTGCCACCAAGCCTGATGATCTGACCAACCCCAGTTCCACATGGAAGGGGGGAACAAACTCCAGCAATTGTCCTCTGACCTCCACACCGTGGCATGTGCCCGTCTCCCCACATAATATATAAACTTAAAGAAATAAATGTGAAATATAATAATGTCATGATTATGTTTAGAAATGAAACAGTTCTTCCCTTTTACAGATACCTCAATGTTTATGGGTTTCTGTAAGATACTAAAAGATAGTGAGTCAAGAGGAGGAAGTTGGATAAAGTAAGATTGCCCATGTGTGGATATTTGAAGCTTAGTGACTCATTGTGTTTACCAAGACATATGGGTGACTTTGTTTTAAAGCAAGCTGAGATGTAAATCTTTGGGTGGTTTTGTTTGTTTGTTTTGTTTATTTTTTTTTTCAAGACAGGGTTTCTCCATATAGTTCTGGCTGTCCAGGAAGTTGCTCTGTAGATCAGACTGGCCTCAAACTCAGAGATCCAACCTCCTCTGCCTCCTAAGTGCTGGGATTAAAGGTATTCTGTTTTGTTTTTAAAAAAGATGTGTGTGTGTGTGTGTGTGTGTGTGTGTGTGTGTGTGTGTGTGCGCGCGCGCGCGTGTGTGCTTATATGTGTGTAGCAGGGGCATGTACATGTGTGGAAGTCAGAGGACACCTCTTGGGAGTCAGTTTTCTCCTACCACATGGGTTCCTGAGATCAAACTCGGGTTGTTAGGCTTAATGGCAAACATCTTTACTTAGTGAGCTGTCTTGTGGGCTGGAGATCTCTTAAAAAGAAAAAAATCAGTGATTGGATTTACCCTTTTGTCAACCATGTAAGTGAAGTTAATTTTCAGTTAGGTCAGCGATACAAATAGAATTGTATCATTGCCAACGAATACTCTCTCCTGCTTGCTCAGTGTGCACATGCGTGTTTGTAGTTGCAATCACAGAGGGTGCCTTTTGCTTTTTATATGTAATCATTTATTTCTTGTGTGTTCTGTTGAGACATTCCTAGGTTGAGTGGTCATAGTTGTTGTCATGTGCCCGTACTTTGAATTTTAATGGCAATAAGAACCCTGGTGACATAGAACACTGTCATGAGATTTTCATGGCTCTTGGAGTCTCCACCATTGTTCTTATTAACTGATGAGGTGACTGAAAACTCTTAATTTGCCATTTCTAAAAATCTTTCATAATGTTTATGGACCTTAACTAAATTTTATTCCAGTAGCTAGTCATTTTGAAAATATTACCATTCAAGAATGAAAACTAATGGAGGCTTTTTTTTTTTAACAGTTTGGATGACTTCAGTAATTGGATTTCTAAGACAATAACCTCTCGAGAAACTGACCGCCTCATCAATTCTGTGAGTTATTCAACTTTACATGTGTTATCTGGGTTTGAATTTATAATTTCCCTTTTAATGAGCATTATTGTCTAGCTTAATACATTTTAATTATATTGTGGAAAGTCAGACAGTATGTCCTGAATGTTTTTCCTGTGCTGATTTTCTGACCCAGGGCCTGTGCATGCTACGCAGACTCTACATGCAGCAACATTCCTCAACAGAACCTGTATTCTTCCTGTCTGATGATCCCAAATGCTGGGATTATCAGTGTAAACCAGCATTGCCTACATGCTTGCTTGCTTATATACTTCCTTTCTTCTCCCTCCCTCCCTCCCTCCCTCCTCTGTCCTCTCCCCTCTCCTTTCTCTCTTTCTCCTCTCTTTCTCTCTCTTGGAGACAGGGTCACATGTAGCTTAGGTTGACCTCTAACTTACTATGTAGTATATAGCTAAGGGTACCCTTGAACTTGTGACCCTCCTCTTGTCCAGATTATAGGCATATGTCATCTTGTTTGGTTATGTGGTATGAGGAGTCAAACCCAAGGCCTCAAATATGCTAGGCAGGCACCTTTCCAGCTGTCCCAGGCCCCTCACATCTATTACTTTATTACTTATTTATTAATGTATGTGTGTGAGAGAGACATGCGGGTGTAGGTGTGCATGCATGTGCCTTGGCCTGCATGTAGAGCTCATAAGAAAGACACCCTTTGGGGGTAGATTTTCTCCTTTTGCTGTGAGTTCTGTTGTGAGGCCTGTGCAGCAGGCACTTTAGGGATGGCCATCTTTCTAGCCCCCAACTTGTGTCCCAAATAAAGAGCAGCCTTGTCCTCAGCTTCTATGGAGGTCCCACACCCCTCTTTCTCAGTGAGGGTGGAAGTCTGAGTGCCTTAAGATGTACAGTTTTCACTCAGTAGCCAGCCCCGTTTGAAAGTAAATGAGCCCCAGAACACCCATATTAACCATCTAATTGTTGATGGCCATTATAATGACTAGATAAACTGTTACATTTGGACTAATAAATTCTCAGCAGTGCATGTGTTTCCATGCCGGTTCTGGACTACCTAAACCAGTTCACACCTTGTTTTTCTGGTTCAGGGAGCTGAACTCGTGGCCTTTCACACAATAGACAAGCATCCTACCACTGAATTACACCTCAGCCCCAGGCCCATGTCTTTGTGTCACTATCAACATGACTACCAGCAAACCCAGCAAAGGGCATAAAAGTGCAAATAGAGTGGAAAATGAAACCTCTGAATGGGATCTTTACAAAACCAAATCATTGTTCAAAAATTATCCTTACTTTCCCACTCTAATTTCTTTGCTAAAATACCAGATAATGAAACCTGTTCCTTAGCCTTATTAAGTACCCTCTCTCTCCCTTTGGAAGGAGCTAGGATCCCCAAGCAGAGCAGACCCCCTCAGTGGTGACTGTCAACCAGAAACACGACACACATCTGCCTTGCCATACCGTCTCCGATGCGTGGACACATTCAGGGGGTAAGTGGGCCTCAATGGCAGGGAGGGGTCCATGTCAGGTAAAGTAGGCCGGGTATTGGTGGTACACACCTTTAATCCCAGCACTCGGGAGGCAGAGGCAGGCGGATCTCTCTGAGTTCGAGGCCAGCCTGGTCTCCAGAGCGAGTGCCAGGACAGGCTCCAAAACTACACAGAGAAACCCTATCTTGGAAAAAAAAAAAAAAGTAAATGTAGTGTTTGCAGCCTCTTTCCTTGTCATGATAAGGGGCCTGCCAGAGTGTGGGCAGACCACTTATTTAGCTTGCACAGAGCTCTGAGGTCATTCCCCAGCACCACAAAAAGCAAACAAAAAAGTGAAACAAAAGGCAAGGTCATCATGAGATTGGGAGAGAAGAGGAGGAACACAGCCAGAACCAGTTTCCACTAGTGTATTTGGTGGTCTGGACAAGTGTATGCGTTCAGGCCACTCTGTCTTACTATGTCCAGTAACAAGCAGCAGTTTGGAAGGTATACCAGCCCACAGCTGCATCTCACCTTCGCCACTAGAATGACTTGGATAACAAGTTCTCTGATGGCAGATCCACCATCATGTGTCATACTCGTCATGCTGTACTTGTGGTAGAAGGGCCAAGGCCAAACTCTGATAAAGTAGATAACAGTAAAGCCAAAAATAAAATACACACTGTCAGTTCTTCCATTTCTCCCATCTGAGAATAACTGACTTCTACTGATAGCCTTGCATTTCCTTCCCAGCCTCCAGAGTCCCAAGGACCCTGTTAGATATATGGGAGCTGGGTCCTGTGTTTGGATAAGCTGCCCCCATCCAGAATGCTTGGAGCCAGAGGTGTTTCAGAGTTTGAATATTGACACTGAGAAATCTTGTGGCTGGGACCCAGGTCTAAGCACAAGTTTAGTTTTCTTTCCTGTACCTCACATGCATGACCTGAGAGTGATTTTAGACAGGACTTTTACTGTGCCTATGGGTTAGTTGTTTGATTTTGTTTTTCGTCTTTTCTTTTGGAGGGTGGAGTGAGACATTCTAGGATTTATGGCAGCCTCCACTCGGGGACAGACAGTGCTTCACCACCAGCCAGCACCTGCATTTTTACCATGAGCTGACATGACAACAGTGTGGTGTTTTCCACCTGTGACATCATGGACACATTTGGTATTTTAGCTTATTTCAGGTTTCAGAGAAAACAATCCCAGTATATAAAATTGATAACAACCATATAGCTCTCTGGGCCATTGAAGCTCTTAACTCATCTTGTTTGAACTCTTTAATAATACTACGAAATGTGCTTGCCACAGGTGTGTGTCACAGATGGAGAAATAGACTACTGAGTTAAATAACTTTCTTAGCCACTGAGTTGCTAAGTTAGGCTTGTGTCATAGACAGTTGGGTCACAAGGCGCAGGAAGGTTAGTCTCTCAGCCTACCAGAGTGTCTCTTCTCAGGGCAGCATCAAAGGACAGCCTGTCTAGAGTCCATTTGAGTATATTCCTTTTCTTTCTGTCTGTCATCATTGACAGTTCAGATAGATAGAAACTAGCATTTAGTGACTAGGATGTGCCCAAGAAGAAAGCAAGACTCAAATTGTGGACCCTTAGTTTTCTGAATCCCAGGCTTCTATGTCTTCTATGATGATACACCTGAGATACCCAAAATAATTTTTTAAAAGTTGCATTACTGAATACATATGACTTTGTTTTCAGTTCACAAAATCCAGTAGCATAAACAGGGTGTGGTAGCACAGCCTTTGGTCTCAGCACTCAGGAGGCAGAGGCAGGAGAATCTCTGTGAGCTCAAGGCCAGCGTGGTCTACAGAGTGAGTTCCAGGACACCCAGGGCTACACACAGAGAAACCCTGTCTCAAAAAATTTACATATATATATATATATATATATATATATATATATATACAAACTTACATATATATATATATATATATATATATATATATATATATATATGATGTCCAGCTTAATTGCTAATGAGCTAATGAAAATAGCATTTCAGTTCTCATCATAATACAGTAATCAAGCAATAATGAACATAACCGATAGCACAGGGTAATTTCTTGCCTACCTCAGTCATTACATTTCTGAACTTCTTTTATTAAGGATTTGACAGAAAGGGACACTATCAATTTGAAAACAGGAATTCAGAATTCTTCACTTATGATGCATGATCAGTACAAAACAATGAAGGATTCAGAGGCAAATAACACCAAGTTTGTATATTTCCTAAAGAACATATGTAAACTTGCAGTTTTCTGCAATATTACAACATTTAAGTATGTGAAACATTAAGGAAGCAATGACGTTCATGGTGCCAATACTAAAGCAAAATATAAATAAATAAATAAAAAACAGAGACCAGCAGTAGCCTTAGTACATAAGACATGAGAATCTTCATTTAAAAATTCTTGTATAAAATAAATATTATGTTCAATGAGAATTGCTTGACATTACTCTGGCCTATCTCTATCCAGTGAACTTCATTTTATCTTAGACTGATACATAAGACTTCAACCATAAAACAGACCAGGTATGTGGACAGTGAGAATTTTCCCAATTATAGAGGATTTTTTTTTAGGAAATCTCCATTTAGGATGATTATTTTGGTAATTTGCTTGTTAAAATCATATTCTGTTATATATAGACATGTTCTTCCTACTCTAATTTTTATAATGAATGGATATATTATTTTGTAAAAAGACTTTTCTGCATCTAAATAAATGATCCTGTAGTCTCTTTCTTATATTCTGTCCTCTTAATTCATTTTGTGAATTCATTTACTTATGTTGATTCTTATAAGCAACTCTTGGATGAAGCCACCTTGATACTAGTATATATTGATTTTGATGTGTTCTTGAAATGGAAAATTTCAAATTTGTCATATAATTGGAAGTGTATTGCTGTTTTTCTTCTCAGAGGGTTGGGGTAATTCTGCATTGAATCCATCAAGTTCCATTACTTGAGAAATTTTTATTGCTTCTTCTATACAACTTGTGGACATGTGATATTTTAAATTATTCAAGTATTGTTGAATTAAGTGTTTGTTAGGTTATACACTAACAAATTCATCACTAGTTTTTTGTTTTTTTGTTTTTTTTTTATAATAGCGCTTGCATAGCCACGGCCTTTCTACCGACTGCACTCATCTATGTAAAGGAGACAGTGAAAACTCGTGAAAGCAACTAGAGGCAATCCGAGTAATGAGGTGTGCAGATCAAACCAAGGATGCGGGTTCTCAAGAGTCAGTTCAAGAATTTATGAGTAAACTGGTACAGCACCTTCCTAGCCTGTGGGGTCCCAGGTTCAACTGCCAGCATTAAATGGGTCAGGTCTAACTGTGAGTAAGGAAGTCATCAAACTTCAAAGTAGAAATGATGCAAACTAGCCTGGGCTACTCAACAGATTAGCCAGTTCTTGAGGAGTCTTATGTGGCCATGCACTGAATATTTATTGAGAATGTACTGTGTCTCCCACACTAGGCTACACTTTTGATTCCATGTGGTTCAAGTTCTAATCTAGATAAACGAAATAAAGAAGTCAATTTTGCAGCCTATGAAAGCATGGTAAGTACTGTGGAGAGAAATAGAAGAGTCTTGATTATCAATAGAAGATAAAGGAAGGCTTCATTGAGAAACTACTTTTTGAATAAATATTTGAAAAAGGAAAGGGAATGAGCCATCCAGGTAAAGAGAGAGCAAGGCCTCCAGCCTGTGAGTGTGAGTGTCATAACCAGAGAGGGGGCAGTGTTGGCTGGATGACATAAACCAGTGGACTAGGAGGTGAGGTCCCTAAAGGAGGCAGACGAACAAGAAGGGCCACATAGGCTCCCGTGGGACCACCCCAAGGACTTGGGATTTTATCCTATGGATTTTTCTGAAGGACTTTAACCAGAGGTGCAATATTTTGACCCATCAAAAGAAATACCATTGGTGAGTTGAGCTCAAATACTGGGAATTGGGTGATGGTATCACTGTCTAAGAGTTTGAGGCACTCCTCCTTTCTGGAAATCACCTTCCAAGTGTGCCTGCTGGCTCCCTACCCTGGAAGTGTGGGAACCTTGGCTTGAGAGATTTTTTCCTCACAGTCCAAGCAGACCTGGCCTGTCTATACTCTGGTCACCTGTGAACCATCTGCAGTAAATGTAAACACATCCCCCGAGCTTACACCTAAGCCACCTGCATTGGAGCTGGGTGTTCCCAAACATCTCATTGCAGTCTTGACCTGTCACCTAAATGGTGACTATCTGCAGGACTCGCATTATCTAATAAAAAGGTTCTCATTTTAAAGTTCATGGTTGAAGACAGGAACCACCTTCACAAGCATATTGTTTTATTTGTACCTCAACATATTAAAGACAGTGTAGATGCTACATTATGCAAAGGAGGCCAAGTATGCAAATGTAATCTTCTGTACTCGACGTAGGTAGAATGAAACAGACGTGCTTTCAGAGAAAAACTGTATGAAAACATTTCTCTAAATTTCAATGGAATAAAGGTTATTGTTAAACATTAGTTGTACTGAGGAGATCGATGGGCATATACTAAGTTAATTTTGGAGCTTTCAGCACTAGCTATTCTACTGAAATGCCTAAGCATTAAGATATGGGCCATATTGCACCATACGATAAGCACTGTGTGTAGTTTTAGAAGCAAAGATGAATAAGGCCAAAATGATAAAATACAGTAAGTGGTACAGTGTGTAACTGTGAATGCATGCATAGCTGGAAGTGAGCTATGAGAAATGTAGCAAAAATTTAAATAAAAGGCTGGAGAGATGGCTCAGAGGTTAGGAGTACTGGCTGCTCTTCCAGAGGTCTTGAGGTTAATTCCCAGCAACCACATGATGGCTCACAACCATCCATAATGAGATCAGGTGCCCTCTTTTGGCCTGCAGGGATACATGGGAACAAAATACTGTATACACAATAAATAAATTTTAAAAATTACGTGTGTGTGTGTGTGTGTGTGTGTGTGTGTGTGTGTGCGTGCACGCGTGCGTGTTGGGGATTCCTGGTCATGGTGCCCCCATGGAGGTGAGAGGATGGCTCGCAGGACTGAATTCTCCCTTTGTACCTTGTAGAGCTGTGGTCTTTAGGCATGTAGTAAGTGTCTTTACCAGCTAAGCCGTCTTGCCAGCCCAAGTATAATTTTTTCTTGATATATTGTTAGAAATATTGGTTGCAGAGCACCATCATGGTCCCTCATAGTGAGCACCAGATAACCCTATCTTGAACTTTCTACCCTTGTCATAAACTGCTCTGTTGAGCCACATTATAATATGACGAGCCTTGTCTGAAAGAGTGTCTGTACTTGAGGGTTTGTTCTCACACTGCCCTCCCTTTGTCTGCCTTACAGGATAGCTCTCATCCTCATGGTTTTCGTTAACTATGGAGGAGGAAAATACTGGTACTTCAAACATTCAAGTTGGAATGGTGAGCTACTAGTTCTCCAGCCTGACCCCAGAGAACTTGGATAGGAGAATGACCCAGCATTCCCTGTGGGCACCCTACCAGGGCCCTCCCAGCCTGTGTAGAACCACCCTGGCTTACATGGGGGCCCTTTGGTTTTGTTCTTCCATGGATCTAGAGTGATTCTCTGTAATGACACAGAGATTGGATTTTTCTGCTGTGAGACTTTGGGTCTCCACAAGAGATGTAAAAGAATTGGTTCTACTGGATCATTGTTACAGTCTAGATGGTAGAGCTACCATATTCTTGGGGACTTTGCGTCTTTCTTGGGGTGCCACCTACAAAGACTAGTCTGAGTGGCACTCGATAGCAGCTATAAATCTGGGTGGGTAGTTGCTGGACAATGGGTATTTTAGAACCAGAAAAATGACATGGAATACCTGATCATTACAGACACGAACTTTTGGGAACTTTTAGTTGTCTTTATTCTGGCCAGACAGAATAGTTTTCTTTGGTAAAAATAAACATTTTTTTACAATATGATTCTACAATATAATCACAGAATATTTTTCATTCTGTAAAAGTCCCCGAAAGCCTTTAGAAGAGAGTACATTGTATTTGACCACCGGCACCCAGATTCCATGTATGGATGATGGAGTCTGCAGCTGATGCAGCTCAATACTCAGACCTAGAGTCCAGACACTTGTAGGACTTGAATTGTGTTTAAGTATTTAAAACAAGTTATCGCTTCTTGGCCCCTTGACTGCAGTCAAGTGTAAGACAAGATTCCAGTGCTTGCAAAATAGCTCAGCAGGTAAAGTTTCTGGCTGCCAACTTGAGTTCAATCCCCAAGACCCATATTGTGAAAGTGACTCCTCTAAGTTGTCCTCTGATCTATACATGCCTCCCCATCCACAAATAAAGCCAACAGAAGAATTTACAACAGTCCTAACTCCCACTCATACCTAAACACCAGCTTCTCTTTTGTGTGACCAAACAGTTTTGGTTATGTTCCTTGTTGGGCATTCTGCTGGAAGACATGGAGTGTCTGGCAGCGGGAGAGAATAGGTTTTGACTAGTACTGCTGCAAGGTCACAAACTCATCCACAGACTTATAGTGTGAATGGTTTATGATCAGGGAACCCTCCACAGCCCCCAGGCCCAGTGGCTGTATGTGGCTCCTGTCTGTGTTGTTCTTTCTGTGTGAATACGCAGTGCAATTTATACATTTTGGAATTGGGAAATATTTATATCCTAGAATACTCTTTCTTACTGATGTTTTCAAATCATCTTACAGGACTGACTGTGGCTGACCTCGTCTTCCCATGGTGAGCTGACAATTGCTATGTTGTGGGGTTATACACATTAGTGATTAACTCCTGTCACCAGCAATGCATTGGTAATAAGAACAGAAAGAGGAAAGCATATCCCCTAGGAGTCCTTTAACCACATGGGAGTCCAGACTTAAAATCTCTACCTCCTGCTCCATTGCCTCCTATCTCCTTGTCTGCCTGTTGCTTGTGTCTGAATCTGTGCCTGATGGAAGGCTGTGTTGGCCCCTGTGTCTGACTGTTGAATGACTGTATATTCTGTATGTGGGTGCTGTATGTCTCCCTAACAGAGGGCTTCACTCTGCATTTGTTGAACAGCACAGAGAGCACCCATGGGGAAAGGATGGTACACTACAGAAATCTTCAGTAGAGTTCTACAAGGAATTAAGTCACTGCCTCCATGGATCCCAAATGACCCAGACAATGAACAACAACATTGTTTATCAATCAATATCCATAACTGGTTGCTTTCAACCTTTAAGGTAGATTTTAGGAAGTTGCTTTCAACTTCTGTATTTGCTGCTTTTGGCAAATGAGATGCATACATTATCTGGGCCAGAGGCATGGAAGATTACATAATTTAAGATTAAAACCATGCTTTAGCTTGGGTTGTAAGGGTGATTCTATGGGAAATCCAAAGCAAGCAGGGTTGACCGTCATATTATTCTCTTAAAGGTAGGTTACCCAGACAGGCTGAGTGTGCAGTAGGACAGCAGTCTTTAATGACCTCAAGGTATATTATTAACTCAACTGTGAGGGATAGCAGGAGTTCCAGTCTCTTAGGATGTGAGAGATATTTCATAATATTGCATGGACACTGTGGCCATTGGCTCTTCCACAGATCATCTCCCATCCTTTGTCTTTAAAAGGCTGGAGCCTCTCTCTGACCAGTTTTGATCATGAGCCTGCACTTACTGTTGTGAAGTCATGCCATAAGTTATATGACTGGGTAGTTTGTATACTTGACATCACGTTTTTGCATGTGTACATAAAAGATGTCTGACATTCTCGTGTCCGCATGGGGCTATAGATTGACACTAAGACCTTGTGTGCACTAAGCATGTACTCTGCCACCATGCCATACATAGTCTCAGCTCCAGAGATGAATGGTCTCGTATGAAACATCTTGTTAGAACAGATGCTGAAATCATACCATTAACCCCGAATTTATAGTCAAGTTCCACTAATTTCCTAAATATGTGTAAATCATATTTCTTAAAAATTGGTACGGTAAACCGGTATCTGTGAGTATGGATAAATACCTAGCAGGAAATGATAGTTGTAAATTAAAATCTAATATGGTAGTAGAGTAAAAACATCTCCTCCCTAGTGGATGCTTGATCTTGTCATGGCATTTTTCCCATATGATGCACCACTTGTGTTTACCCGGATGCTTGGAGCCACCTGAGTGCTCCATCCCTGGAGATGGTTCCAGGAGAATATTTCCTATGTTGGGACGCTGGCATTGTATACCATAGACTCAAGGTTTGGGGAGAAGTGTTTGTTGTTTTGAGAGGATTTGGACAGGGCAAATATTGTTTGAGATCTGGTAATGACTTCAGCACATGGTCTGTGCTCCTCTATTACTGCTCTATGAGACAGCTAAATCCTGAAAGGGAAGCCAGGGGAATCTGGGAGGCAGCCAGAGCAAGCCATGTTTCCCTAACACTGAGCCAATAACTAGGAAAAATATACTGTGGTTTTGTATTGGTTGCTTTTCTCCTCAAAGGGACAAAATACCTCACAAGAGCAACTTAGAGAAGTTACTTTAGCTCAGGGTTGCGTGCAGTGGGAGCAGGAGGCAGCTTGCTCACACTTGGCAGCAAAACAGGAAACCAAGTCTCATGGCAGGAATGGGCTGCTCCAGTCCTCTAACCGCACCCTGCAGCACTGTGCTGGCCAAGTAGTCTTGGTGTTTAGAAGGCCCTGAGATCTCCAAAACACCACCAAATAGGAACCGACTGAACACATGAGCCTGTGGACAGCTCACATGAGCCTGTGGACAGCTCACATTCAACGTTTTTTTTTGTTTTTAAGGGAGACTGTGCTTAAGAAAGGAAAAGGAAATATGTAACATGTGATTCCTACCAAATGGAGAGAGAGGAGAGAGAGAGAAAGAGAGAGAGAGAGAGCCTTTTTTTCTTTCAGAAGGAATGAGTTTCTAAAAGATTTGAATGTTTTGTTTCTGAAGGACTTGGACAGCGTGTTAACTCAAGCCCCTTGGGTCCAAGTGTCCATTGCTTTTCTCTCTGATAAATGCTTGTAGGGTTATCCATGGAAATCCCACTTACTATTAGTCAGTTTTCCTCCTACAACAGGACTTGAAGATGTTCTGTCAAAATTCCCACCAGCAGGGCTGTGTTAGTGCCCCTCCCGTATTCTGAGACTGACACTGTTTCAGTAACTGACTCCTATGGATAGACAGCATGTCACTTTTCTCCTGTAAGATATCAAGGGTACATGTATAAAACTGGGAATGGCCACCTACCCATAGCCTTTCTTTTTAGGTTTGTATTTATTATGGGATCTTCAGTTTTCTTATCAATGACTTCTGCCCTACATCGAGGATGTTCAAAGTTCAGACTGCTGGGGAAAATTACATGGAGAAGTTTCCTGTTAATCTGCATAGGAATTATCGTTGTCAACCCCAATTACTGCCTTGGTCCATGTAAGTGTTTCTGTCCTTTTTTTATATAGAGTTGGGTTGAACTATGGAAAAGACTTGGTTGGTTGGTTGGTTGGTTGGTTGGTTGGTTGGTTGGTTTTTCGAGACAGGGTTTCTCTGTGGCTTTGGAGGCTGTCCTGATACTAGCTCTTGTAGACCAGGCTGGTCTCGAACTCACAGAGATCTGCTTTCTCTGTCTCCCGACGCTGGTATTAAAGGCGTGCGCCACCAATATATATTCAGTGTTTGTGATCAAACCCAGGCCCTTACACATGCCAGACAAGCTTTTTGCCACTGAGCCTCACGTGTTATAATCTAATGTAATTCTTCCATCCTGGATCCCTCCCAAAGGACAAATTATTAGAAGAGTATGTATACTGCTTGAATACCATTGGATACTGTTATACTTAGCTTGGAAATTTAGTAATGGGAGGCACCTCTATGACTGTGATATAAAAGAAAAATCAGACTGAGTGAGGTTGAAGTGTTGTTTCTGGGTCATGTCCATGTGTTAATGGACAGAGGAGAAAATGATCAGGTCACTTTGTTCTTGTACTCTGTCTCTTTTGGGTCCATGAACTGTTAGTGTTGGCTGTAAGTTTAAGAATCTGTCCTCACCTGTGTGCCAGCTGTGCTCCTGGAAAGGGGATTGTTGTCATTGCTTCTGTCCTCTTCAGTGACACCAGATGGTGAAGACAGGATGTGAGCCCCTTGTTTGGTACCCGATGCTGACAGGGAAGGCAGCAGTTACTGTCCTGGGGCCTTGCTTTGTCTCTGTCAAAGGAGAACAGATATGCACCATCAAATCCAGCCCTCGGGCAGTACGTGCCTTTTTATTGGAAGCCTAAGAGCTTAGACCAGTGGTTCTCAACTTTCCTAATGCTGCAACCCTTTAATACACACAGTATCTCAGTGGTGAACCCTGACCATAAAATTATTTCATTGCTTCTTCATAACTAATTCTGCTACTGTTGTGAATCGTAATGTTAATATCTATTTTCCAGTGGTCTTAGGCGACCCCTGTGAAAGGGTTGATCAGCCCCAAGGTTGGGAACCCCTGGTTTAGGAGAGAGAATTTTGGTGGACTCCACATGAAGTGCTCAATGTTCTTCCAAACCTCAGGGGAAGCCACTACAGGGTTTGCTATAGGTTCTCTCCCCGGGATACAGTCTGTAACCTGTTGTATGTGGTGAATAGTGGTTTGGTCTGGTCTGCATGTTTCTGGTGACATGAGGGTTACATCCATATCTCTAGTAGGTAAGGGATAGTAGCTGGATTCTGTGCCACAGGGAGTCCTTGCTTTATCCCCCAATTGAGTGAAGTTGGCCAGGCACTTGTTTACAGAGAGTGCCGTGTCCCCAGCCCATGTGTATCCATGAGCTATGATGATTTACTTATGAGTAATACAGGAGACAGCACTGTCTTGGGGTAAGATGCATCCTGCTGGCTTAGCCTTCGGTGACTTGTGTCTTTGGCAGTGTCTTGGGATAAGGTGCGGATCCCTGGTGTCCTGCAGCGGTTGGGAGTGACATACTTTGTGGTCGCTGTGTTGGAACTCATCTTCTCGAAGCCTGTCCCTGACAGATGTGCCTTGGTGAGAATCTTATGTGTGTGTATAGGGAGGGGGGCAGACTTGGAAGTCATTTGAGTCAGAGTCTCTCACTGCCTGGACCTAATCAGTTACACTACACTACACTAGAATTACAGGACCACACCACACATCAGTCCTCTTGTGTTTGTTCTGGGCTTGGACTTGGATTGAGGTCCTCATGCTACCAACTGAACCATCTTCCCAGCCAGATAATTTTTTTTATTCTACTATAAAGGCCAAGAACCAATCACTGGCTTTATTCAGGTTCACTGTTTCCTCACGTGCACTGTTCTTGCCTCTCATCAGGAAAGAAGCTACCTTTCTCTTCGAGACATCACTTGCAGCTGGCCCCAATGGCTCGTCGTTCTGATACTGGAAAGCATTTGGCTGGCTTTGACATTCTTTTTACCTGTCCCTGGGTGCCCTACGTAAGTGACCCCTTGCCAGGTAATCTGTGTGTGTGTGTGTGTGTGTGTGTGTGTGTGTGTGTGTGTGTGTGTGTTTGTGTATGTGTGCTCCTGTCTGTGTGTGTGTGTGTGGGGGGTGCATGTGTGTGCATCTGCATCTAAAGGCTGAAGCACTGGTGTTATTCCTCAGTTGTCGATCCTTTCTCTTTTTTTGCAACATAGAGTTTGCCAAGTAGGCTGACCAATGAGTCCCAAGACTCCACCTGTCTCCACCTCTCCAGGGCTGGTATTACAAGTGTGTGTCACCATGCATGGCCTTTTTTTTTTTTTAATAAAAGTTTTATGTGTATGAGTGTTTTGCTTGCATATGTGTCTGCATACCATGTGCACACAGTGATTGACGAGGCATTGGATCCCTGGAATTGGACCACCATGTGGGTTCTGGGAATCAAACCCAGGTCTTCTGGAAGAGCAGCTTGTGCTGTTAACCACTGATGAGCTCTCTTTCCAGCCCCAATGCATGACTTGGCTGGTTGGCTTTCTTTTTCTTTATTTCTCCCTCTCTTTTCATTCTGTGTATTCTGGGCATCGAACTTGGGCCCTCAGGCTTGCAAGGCAAACACTTTACTGACTGAGCTATCACCCCAGCCGTGGTAGTGCCTTTCTGCCTATCCCTTTCTGCTGAGTTAGAGGTGAGGTTCTATAGCATTGAAATTTCTCTAGTCAGAGGAATTCTCTTTCATACTTTCTCCTCATTGAAGCTCTCTTTACACAGAGAAGAGGGTTGAATTGTCTCAGCATCACCCTGAGTAGAAAGTGGACCTGCCTTCCAGTGATGGGGGCTGTTGTCCAGGGTTGTGGCCCGTTTATATGTGAGGCTCTTTGAACCTGTCCTCCATGAAAAGCCACCTTTCAGCACTATCCCTTCCTCAGTCCTGTCAATTAAGCATGTTTTTCACTTCCTTAGTGGCTACCTTGGCCCTGGTGGTATTGGCGACATGGGGAAGTACCCTCATTGTACTGGAGGAGCCTCTGGCTACATTGACCACCTACTTCTGGGAGACAATCATCTGTACCAGCACCCATCCTCCACCGTGCGTGAGCCTTGCCTTTTCTTGGGTAGGAAGATTGATCCAGTTTGACACTGTTTAAGGACAGTGTGGTGGGAACCATTGTTATTTGGAAAACTGGCTGCATTCATGCTGCAGGTGTTCACTGTGTTGGTAGGGAAAAGTATTTTTGATTGTGGAGAGAGAATGAATCATATAAAACAAGTGGTATTTTATTTAAATCTTTAGGTTTCCAGCCCCAGACTCTGAAACAGGGACTAGAAGGCAGGATATGTTTGGGGCGTCTCCATTGTGTTAGTCCCTGTGAGGAGTGCAGCTGAGGGAGTTGAACTGCACCTGTCTCCTCAGGGCTCTGGTTAATCTGTGAGCTGAGGTGGCATTTGAGAGCTCTTCTGAACTGGGTGAGGGTGCGTCCCTTGTGTTTCTTGCTGGATGTGGACTGTCCCCAGCACAGGAGTGGTTTGGGAAGGTAGACAAATTCCCACACTTTCTTTTTTCTTGTTTTAAATTGATGGGCTCCAGCTCAGGGCCCAGTGAGCTATACCCCACCCTGCAGCTGTCTTTAGTCAAGAACCTGGACGAGGTTCTTGACTGAGACCTTTTGGCAGCTGATGTTTCTAATAGCTAGGGATGAATCTCTCAGGCTTTATAATGGTTGAGGATACACTATACATTTCCAAGTTCTAAAGTCTCACTTTTATATTAAAAATACAAATGTTTTAATTGATGAATTTTTTGGAATGTTAGACATTAAAGCATGGGCCTTCTAAATGCTGAGCATATGCTTGGCCCCTGGGCCACTCCCCCTTCCCAAATGTATTATTAAATGTTAGGTGCCTGAAAAAAGGTTAGGAGCTGTTGAAGCTCAGTGGGGTGGACTAAAACAGAATGAGCTTGTAATTTCCGTCCTGTTTGGCATTTGCATGTTGTTAACAAGGTCCAGCACTCTTTGCCAGGCTTGCTAAGGTGGCTGAGCAGGATCATGGTTTACTTTGCCTATGATGCCTATAAATTGCCCCTGAATTTCTGCTGTAAAAGCAAAAGAGGAAGAAAGGGAGGGAGGGAGGGAAGGAGGAAGGAAGGAAAGAAGGAAGGAAGGAAGGAAGGAAGCTAAAAGCATCAATGATTGAAGTGTCTTCAAGTTTGCATTCCATCTGAGAGTTGTGTGCATTTTTGTGTTGTGTGACTGACTGCCACCCTCTTGTTCTGTTTTGTTAAGGTCCTTTATCACACCCAGGTGGCCTACGACCCAGAAGGGATCTTAGGGACTATCAACTCCATTGTGATGGCATTTTTAGGAGTTCAGGTATTTGTTCCTGTCATGGGGCTGCCCTTTTCTGACATTTTGTGACAACTGCTAACAGCGTAACTAGAAGTCACCTCACTGTAATGAGGTAGTTGAAGGAGGCCCTCTCTGGTTTGCCACAGCTCTGTAAGTTCTGTTTAAGATCAAGATGGAATAAACTAGGGTGGGATAACTCAGCAATTCAGTTGACTGGCTGAATCCTTACACTCTGGGACCTAAATTCTTACTAGTTGTGTGTTTATTTTAGCCCAGAAGTTTGTGGATAATGAGTTCCATTAGTGGCCACATTTATTTGTTTGTTTGTTTGTTTTGGTTTCTCTGTGTAACCCTTGCTGCCCTAGCTAGCCTCTAACCTAACTCCTCAAGGATCGGTGTGCCTCTGCCTCCCCAGTGCTGGGAGGCCACCAGTGCCCAGCAATGGCCACATTTCTAATCCCTGTACTTGGAAGATTGAGGCAGGAGGACCCAAGTTTGAAAACAGACTAGGCTACCTAGTAAGATCCTGACACAAATGAAAACGGACACTATGAAAGCTTTCTGTCTGGAGCTGTCAGAGTGTTTAGATATTGGTAACATGGAGAGGTAGGTCACCACATCACTTGTCCTGTATACTTGTCTTCATCGGTTTATGTTGCTGCAACAAAACACCTGAGACTGGCTAACTCACAAACAGCAGGTGATCGTTTCTCAGGCCCAGGTCCAAAGTGCTGACAGGTTCCTTCCTTTTCTGGCAATGGTCTGTCTCTCCCAGAGTGCATCCTCTGGAGGGGATGAGCACGGTGCCCACACATGTTGCTTAGAAGGCTGCAAGTGCTAGACTTGCTGTCTCAAGCCCTTTGTAAGATCCTACCATACATTCCTAAGGGCAAAGATCAGCACTGGTGAGAAGGGCCACCTTCCCATCCCATCACCCTGCATTGACAACTTTGGAAAAACACAGGCTTCTGTCCACAGCCAGCTGTGTGAGCGGCTTTAGAGCATATGAGTCTTATGTGCTAGTATTTAGGCATCTGTACTAGCCTGCCTTTGGAGTTCTAGCATGTCCCCAGCTGCTGCCACTAAGAGCACCATCTGTGCATATTCACTATGTTCCCTTTTAAAAGGGGCCTGCCCACCTCCCATCCTTCTCTCTTTCTCTCCCTCACTGTTCCTCTCCCTCCTCCCTCCCCCTTTCTCTCTCTTTCTCATTCTCTGTGCCTCTCTTTCCTCTCTCCTACTTCTCCTGTCCCTGGAGGCCAGTCTCCCCTTCTCCTCCTTTCCCCCTTTGCCATCCTTTTCCCTAATAAAAAACCCTCTACTTGAACTTGTCATGTGTTTCTCTCTCTCTCTCTCTCACCAATTCTTTAAAACTACAACATTATGCCCAAGTCAACTCTGCTTCCTCTTGGCATATGCACTTTTGTTATCATTCAGAGCAGTCTAGATTTCTCAACCCAAAGTTCTCTTTTCCGGCATTTGAATATATTCTTTGAGGGGAACAAACTGGAGATCGGAAAGGCTTGTACAGCAGGCCCAAGGGAATGTAGTGTGATGAAGAGAGTTTCCCTCAGCATCGGGGTTGCCACTGGAAAGGTCTTCAGAGTACAGAATGTAGCTTTTGTACGAACCTCAGTTTTTAATTTTACTTGTTTTAAAATGTAAATGATCACATATAGTGGTAGTCTTATTAAATGGAACAGATCTAAAGTATATACAGTTTGAGGATTTAGTAATTTTACATGAATGGGTTGAAACTCTTATCTCTGTGGTACTTTGAGTCTCTGTTTTTACATACATGCACCTACTCTCTACACATGCTCCCAGCAAACTCCAGCCTGCTAGAGCAGTCAGTGTAGTGTGGGAAAAGTTTAAGGTACAGACCTGGAGTTGCACTACCTGGGTTTGACCCTGGCTCTCACACTTACAGGCTGGGTATGTCACAAGTACCTACATCATAGGGGTCCAAGAACTTGCACATTGGCAACACTTGTACATTTTTAGCTATTTTTACAAATTATTCACACTGTCTCCTTTGATACTTTCAAGGTTTGACTCTAGTTTCAGAGAGAGTTCAGGCAATGTCCCGTCTGAGGTTTTATGTTTTCCTGGCATCCAGTTCCCTTTTGCTTGGGTAATGCCACCAGACCAGACAATGTAGGCAGTCTGAGCTGGTCTCCTATCACCTTGATGGCCTTTAGTTTTAGTTTCCTTTCTGTTAATGTGATAAAAACACTGTCCAGAAGCCATTTAGGGAGAAAAGGGCTTATTTCACTTACTGGTCATATTCCATCATTGAGGGACATCAGGGTAGGGACTCAGGCAGGGACTTAAAGCAAAAAAAGTCATGGAGGAATGCTACCTGCTGCCTTACCTGCAGGCTCATGCTTAGCTAGCTTTCTTAAACATCCAGGCCCACCTGCCTAAGGATGATGCCACCCACAATGGGCCAAGACCTTCTGTGTCAACTAGCTGTGACGACAATCCCCACAGACATGTCTACAGGCCAGTGTGATCTAAACATATCTACAGGCCAGTGTGATCTAAGCAGTTTGTCAGTTAAGGTTCCCCTTTTCCCAGGTGGTTTTTGGTGTGTCAAGTTGATAATAAAAACTAACACAAGGGGTGACTTTCCTGGCTTCCCCATCACCTCTGGAAGAAACCCTTGATCTAAATGAGACCTGCTGGGCCACCTGCCTGTCCTGTTACTGCACTCTCAACCTCCCAGCACACAGAAAGCTGTGTTGTTTTGGTGCTTTAACACGTTTCTGTGTGTACTGTCCCTTTGGCTCTGAATGTCCTGTCTGCTCCAACCCACTTGTAGCCTCAACACTACCTATATGATGTCGGCCTCTATCTCATTGGTCCCGTTGGTTGCATTCCTTCTTATATCTCCAGTGTCTAGAACCTGTACCTGGCAAATTAACACCATGTGCTGGATAGTTGATGAATGAAAAAGAAACAAGAGTGTATCTCAGGTGACTCTCTTGGTCATTCTATTTTCTTCTCCAGGCAGGAAAAATACTACTGTATTATAAGGATCAGACAAAAGCCATCCTGATGAGATTCACTGCCTGGTGCTGCATCCTTGTAAGTGTCCAGCCTTCCTCACTCCCATTGTGTTCATAAGACTGATATTAAGAAGAAATGAAATGTTGAGCAGCTGCTGGCTCAGCACGATGGATGTTTCACTTGAATAACAGGATTCACAAAATAACATTTTTAAAAGAAAATCATTCTTATTGTTTTACTGAGCATGGAACCCAAGGCCTGGTGCATGCCCGGTACACACTCCACCACTGAGGTGCAGTCCTAGTGCCAAGGAGGAAGACATCTTTGTATCTAAATTCTCAGACTTATTTTCCTAGAAAACTGTATATATAAATAAATATGAGTATCTGCCATTAAACACTCTAGTGAAGTCTGCTGGAGGAAGCGTGTAAGTGATGCTCTATGTGGGAAGCCTTATCAGAAAGAAGACTAGGCAGGGATGGGAGCTACAACATGCGTGATGCCCTGGGTCCCATCCCCAGAACCTCTAAGACTGGGTAGATGGCACAGGTCTGCAATCCAGCATGAGAAGGCAGAGGACCCAAGATCACCCTTGGCTACATACTGAGTTTGAGGCCGGTCTGGGATACGTGAGATCCTGCCTCAAAAACAAAATTGTAAAAAGGGATGGAGGGATGGCTCAGTGGTTAAAACCACTGGCTGCTCTTCCAAAGGACCCGGTTTCAATTCCCAGCACCCATATGGCAGCTCACAACTGTCTGTAATCCCAGTTTCAGGGTCCAACACCCTTACACAGACATATGTGGTAATACCTTGCTTGTACAAATAAAGCCTGTCTGAAGGTCAGAGAATGGAGTGTGCCAATAGCTAACCATAGAGATCTGGAGGTATGTACAGACAGACAGGAAGTGGGGTAGCTGGGCAGAAACAGGATATAAGCAGGGAAAAACAGAAACTCTCTTGTCTGCTGAGACGCTAAGGAGGTGAGGTGTACTGTGGCTTGCTCCTTCTCTCTGATCTCTCAGGATTTTTCTCTATATCTGACTCTAGCTTTTTATTATTTAGACCAATTAAGAACTCCATTTACAGACATATATGCCAGGCAAAACACCAATGTACATAAAATAAAAAAATTAAGAAAAAGAAAAAGAATGGATATTTAGCCAGGCAGTGGTGGTGCACATCTTTCATCCCAGCACTTGGGAGGCAGAGTCAGGTGGGTCGCTGAGTTCAAGTCCAGCCTGATTTACAGAGTGAGTTCCAGGACAGCCAGGGCTACACAGAGAAACCCTGTCTCAAAAAGCTTAGAGAGGGAGAAAACATAGTGGAAACAACCAGACAAGCATTAGTTTTAAAGGCAGGAACATCCCAGTTAAGAGGTGTGCCTGGCTGGCTGTTCTTTTGCCCAGCCTGCAGGGTCACATTCTCTTAGGCGTAGGTGTGATTCATCACTTACCTTCTCTGACTCAGAGAACACTGGAAGATGGTTTTGGATAATATTTTAGTTACACATCTTATAGTAACTTTCCAGTTAAAAGAGCAAGCTAAAAGGTGTGATTTTTGGTCCTCACTACCAGTAACTATTGTCTCCAGTGCAGTATGTTTTGAGACTGTAGTACTGATCTTTAACATCTTTTCTTTATAGGGGCTTATTTCTATTGCTTTGACAAAGATGTCTGCAGATGAAGGCTTTATTCCAATAAACAAAAACCTCTGGTAAGCATGTTAGAGGGTACAACGTTACTGTTATTTTCACGTTGAAACCGGGTGTTCCTGGGAGTGCAACAGCCTTCCTTCACTCATCCCCCTGTAGGTCCATTTCGTATGTCAGCACACTGAGCTGCTTTGCCTTCTTCATCCTGCTCATCCTGTACCCGGTTGTGGACGTAAAAGGGCTGTGGACAGGAACCCCCTTCTTTTACCCAGGTAAGTCAGCTGTAATACATTCAGAGCAGGTAGGAGACACCAGGCAGACTGGCTCAATGGGGCCCTGAGCTTCCTTAAAGCTGAAGCCGATGTCCTGGGGACATGTGTCCAGGAAGCAAGCTGAAGAAGAAACCAGCAGGGGCTGTGCTGCCCCAGCTCACAGGTCCCAAAGCACTGCACCCCATTTTTTACACATTTGGTTTCTAGAGTTAGCAAATAAACTTCTCTTATTTTCAGGCAGTATAAAATAGCAAAGTACTGCTGGGCGTTGGTGGCACACGCCTTTAATCCCAGCACTCGGGAGGCAGAAGCAGGCGGATCTCTGTGAGTTTGAGGCCAGTCTGGTCTCCAGAGTGAGAGACAGGATAGGCTCCAAAGCTACACAGGGAAACCCTGTCTCGAAAAACCAAAAAAAAAAAAAAAAAAAAACAAAAGCAAAGTACTGGATACAACTCGGGACATGCTGTTTTGGTTTGGTTTTTTGTTTGTTTGGGTTTTGTTTTTTGAGACAGCAGGGTTTCTCTAGCTTTGGCTGTCCTGAAACTCACTCTGTAGAATAGGCTGGCCTCGAACTCAGATATCCACCTGCGTCTGTGTCCTGAGTGCTGGGATTAAAGGTGAGCACCACCACTGCCTGGCTGACAAGCTGTTTTACATAAGAAATAGTGTGTGTGTGTGTGGTGTGTGTATGTATACATACCCACAAACGTGCACACTCACAGGTGTATATGTACCAGATTTCAGTTTGCAGGGTTCAGGTCTCTTCACCTGAGGGTTCCCAGGATAGAACTGAGGTCATCAGGCTTGGTGGCAAATGTCTGTACTTGCTGAGCCAGCTCAATGCCCCTGATGCTCCTGATTCCTAAGGGTGTAGAAGCACACTTCACACTTAAATAGCTAAGCTACGCATCACTTATTTGGGGCTGTGGGTGATAATGCCATTGTGTGCTTTACGTTTTTTATTGAGTTCATTTAGAGAACTCTATGAATGATCTGGAAACAAACATGTCTGATCTCTCTTAAGGGATGAATTCCATTCTGGTGTATGTTGGTCACGAGGTGTTTGAGGACTACTTCCCCTTCCGGTGGAAGCTGGAGGATGACCAGTCACACAAAGAGCACCTAATTCAGAACATAGTTGCCACTGGTCTCTGGGTACTCATCGCCTACATTCTTTATAAGAAGAAGATTTTTTGGAAAATCTGACCACATTCACTGACATGTATTGCTGGAGGAGTCCAGCAGCCCTGGGAGCAGGATGTAAACAGCCTTTTAAAGGGAATCCTCCTTCACAGAAGGGACATACTGTGTCCACGCTGATTTGCTTAGAGGTCGGAAAGCTGCCTGTATGTTTTTTTTTTTACTTATATATTTGCAGATTTAAAATGTTGATGCTCTCCCTTTTCTTCATTTTCTATGAAATTTCTGTGTTGGGACATATATGGAAATCTTGAACTTCCCGGAGGGGATTTACTATGGACATTTTGCCTCTACAGTGGAGGCCAAGATTGGTGGGCTAGTTTGACTTAGAGATAGAATGCTTTCCTAGCTTGAACTATTCAATCCCTGGCATGACAATCAAGCCAACAACAACCATAACACAAGAAAACCCCAAATAATTGAAGGATGGATTCTAATCTCCTGAAAACTGCCTTCCTGTGTCTGTGCATGTCAACAAAAATACCGTGGTTTCTGTTGTGAGACCTACATAAAGCTTTTTGAATGGACTGTGTCATAATGTTGTCTGACTTTTTTTTTTTATAAAATGTACTTTAATGTTTCTAGAAAGCCAAAGTAGTTTTTCTTTCTGATTTTCAGGGCTTTGATGGGCCCACAAAATGCATTATCCAGAGCTACAGGCTTCTTTCCCCACCTGGAAAAAAACTGAAGTATAGATTTATTATTGTCAGCTACTCTTTTTGCGGCTGTACCTGTCCTCCCACCTTACTATTTTCTGCTGTCTGTCTGCCTGCCTGCCTGTCTGTACTGGCATGTCTCTGGATGGTACCTAGCCATCTGTAGGCACCAGAGATGTAGTTGTGGAAGGAAGAGCATCTGCTCGCTGTGAGTCCTCCTAAGCGGCTTCCTGTGTAAGGGGTGTGGCAGTTCCCTGGCCTGTCAGAGCTTTGGTTCCCTCATTTGTGGAAGAAAAGATGGGGTGCTCCATCAGGTCTCCCCAGTGTTTAGATTTGATAAGGTGGGGGTCCATCAGCAGCTTCTCTGAAATCTTCACTGTAATCTTAAAGACAGAACACCCTGGAAAAGGAATAGTAGCAAAACCGTTTACAACTTCATCAGAACAAATCCAATGGTCATGCACAGTTTCCTAGAGGTGCAGGTGATAGATGAGAAGACACCCCTTGTGTGCTGTGCTTGTAATTCCCTTCTGGGAATTATGTGTTGCATATTTATGTGTTGCATATTTATGGAGAATTGTGATGGAGCTGTACATTAGGCTGCTCTTCTGTCATGACCTGAGGACATTTCAGTTACTGCCCATTCATGTATGGCTTTTGAGTCCACCCCTCTACTTATATGTTCCCATTTTTAAAATACATATTTAATCATTGCTAGGTCTCAGTTCTGTCTCCATCTCCCACCTCTGCCTGCTTCATTCTCCCTGTAACGACCACTGTTGTAGTCTAGATGCTTGCCTCTGTCTGTGACTAGTCCACTGCCGCCAGATTCCACTTGATAAAGCAGGATTTGGATCATACTACCACCTTGTCCCATCGATTGTGCCTGGGACATCTCTGCCTGGTATAACTCTCTTTCTTCATTTGATCCCAGCAGACTCTGGTGTTTTCCCACCTCCTGCACAGCCTTGCTTGTTGTCACACAGCTGCAGCACCCCCTCCCTCCTGATTTTCATCTTCTCTTCATTTCTCCCTACCTGGATTTGATCTGTCATTTAAAATCCCCATTGTGGAAGCACCACCTCTAATTCCGTTCTCTTCCAGTGCTGGTATCTTCTTTGGGTTCTCAAATATTGATATTCATCTCGTGGCATTTATTGCTTCTGCCTCATGTGATGGCTATTTTCCTTGTTATTGTGATATTGATGGCAAGAATTACACATTCTTCTGCATCTTCATGGTGCCAAATGCACAGCCTTGTACTTAGCAAGTGCTAAATAAACTTTATTAAAAGAAAACAATGTGGTTTGGGTTTTTTTAAGACTTTAATTTTTAATTATATGTGTATAGGGGTTGTGCACGTGAGTGCGGCTAGAAGAGGGCATTGGATCTACCTGGAGTTGGAGTTGCAGGCAGTTGTGAGTCATCCATTGTGGATGCTGGGAACCAAACTCTAGTCCCCTGCCAGGACTGTGAACACTAAACTAACTCCTGAGCCATCTCTCCAGCCCACTTTTGTTTTTGAATGGTTTGACTGCTAGTTAAGTTGCCTGATGGAGAGTCTCCTGCGAATGCTGATGTATCTGTTAAAGGGAACAGGAGGCTTTGCGGGCTCCTGTTGCTAGCATTATAGCCACAGCTGTGCGGGAGACTGTCCTATAGAAATGTGTTTTTCCTTATTTGCCTGTGTTTCTCAACCAGCTGTTCTTGTAGTTTTCATGTTTGTGGTCACGTCCTCACTGCTGTACCTGTTTTTTTCTTGTACTTGTCTGGTGACCTGGTTCCTGTGACACTGGTGCCCAGGCAGAGCTTGGGGAAAAGGTAGTTTTGCTACCAAAGCAAATCACAGGCGATGCTTTTCCACATCATAGTCAGCAATGATGGACACTGATACGACCCAAGCAAGGAAGAGAGTCTTGTGGACGCCACAGTGAGGGCAAAAAGAAGCCACATTCTTTGTCAAAATACCACAAGAAAGGTCTCTAGGCCACTTATTCTTCCCCTCTGAAACTTCTTGAGTTCAGCCCCCACTATCCAAATTGCCCTTAGCACTGTCTTCCATGCTCCTACTAGGATGGCCCATTAAGCACCTAAAATGTTCAATGGCTTTCCTCTCCAAGTCCCAAAGTCTACCATGTTCCTCCAATGAACAGCATAGTCAGGTCTGTCACAACAATTCCCTTGCCCCTAGTACCAACTTCTGTCTTAGTCACTGTTCTATTGCTGTGAAGAGACATCATGACCAAGGCAACTTACAAAAGGAAGCATTTAATTGGGGCTTACTGTCTTAGTTTGGGTTACTATTGCTGTGATGAAACACCATGAAGAGGAAAGAGTTAATTCAGTTTATGCTCCTGCATCATCAAAGAAAGGGCAGGAGCCTGGAGGCAGGAGCTGATGCAGAGACCATGGAGGGTACTGCTTACTGGCTTGTTTACCATGGATTGCTTAGCCTGCCTTCTTACAGAATCCAGGACCCACAATGGGCTGGGCCTTCCCCATCAATCACTAATTTAAAAAATGCCCTACAGGCTTGCTTGCCTATAACCCAGTCTTATGGAGGCATTTTCTCAGTTGACTCCTCTCAGATGATTCTAGCTTGTGTCAAGTTGACATAAAATTTGCTAGCACACTTACAGTTTCAAGAGGGTTAGTCTATTATCACCATGGCAGAGAGCATGGTGGCAGGCAGGCAAGTCCAGGAGCAGTAACTGAGAGCTACATCCTGATGGAGGGAGGGGAGAGAGAGAGGAGAGAAAGGAGAGAGAGAGAGAGAGAGAGAGAGAGAGAGAGAGAGAGAGAGAGAGAGAGAGAGAGAGAGAGGGGGAGAGGGAGCGAGAGAGATGAGTAGAGAGAGAGAGAGAGAGAGAGAGAACAAACATAGAGGCCTGGCATGGGCTATTAAAATCCCAAAGCCTCCTGATCCTCCTGATCCTTTCAAATACTGTCACTCAGGTGTCTTAAGTGTTCAAATATATGATCCTATGGGAACCACTCTTATTCAAACCACACCACACTGAAGTTTGTTGTTATGTTTTTTTTTTGTTGTTTTTTTTTTTTAGTTGTCAGACATTATTTCCTTAATTATTTCCACAGCCACCTTACATTGCTATTCCTTTTGTCTGAGCCATTTAACTCCTTCCTAATTCCTATACTCATTAAGTCAACTTATTAATCAAGGGCATAATCTAATTATCTTATGTTCAAATGATCATTCAAATAAAGATGTTTTATTTTCCAATTTTGTTTTTAAACATTATTCATTTTATACACTTTTTATACTTTAATGTTCTTTTGTTCACCTTTTATTTTATATCCCATTAAAAAATAGCATAGCCTTTCAGAACAGAATGCTATATTAAAGGACCATTAATCTTCAGGAAGTAACTCGTCTTTGAAGCTGCAAATGTATCCTAAACAAGCAGCCTGCAACCTGATAGGGGAATCACTAGTACACTGTGTCAAGAATTGAATGCTGTACTGAAGCTGCGAAATGTCACTGGCTGAAATATAAAATTCCCTGAACAGAAGCACTGGAATAATTATGAAAATGTGAGTAGTCCTTTGCAAAAAGCAATTGAGCAGGAGACCCCTTCTGTATTATGCATGTTTTGTTCCATAGTCAAACAACTAAAATGTTGTTAGACACAAATGCTGTCATTCTCCCCAGAAAGCAGTTGTCCTCCCACAGAGAGGCTGTGTGACTAAGGAATTTGAAAATGTGGTTATAACAAACATTTTTTTAAAGATAAAGTCTGTCACTATATAGCCCTGGCTGTCCTAGAATCCACTCTGTAAATCAGACTGGCCTCAAACTTAGAGATCCTATAGCCTCTGCCTTCCATGTGCTGGGATTAGAGGGCATACATTGCTCCACCTGACCATAATAAACAATTCTGTCAAGCAAACAAGAAACAAACAGGCAAAAAGAATGTCATTTTGTGCATCCCACCACACCCTGAGTCTCAATACCTCTCTGCTTTTGAAGAAGTGATTCTGTTAAAGGCTTTTTCTGCATCTATTGAGATGATCATGTAAATTTTTTCTATAAATTCACATATGTGGCTTATTACATTTATTGACTTGTGTATGTTGAACGATCCCTGATTTTCAGAGATAAAGCCAAGTTGGTCACTGTGTATGTTTGTCTATATTCTGTTTGCAGGTGTTGACTATTTTTGAGTCTATGTTCATTAGAGTTTTGGTTTTTTTGTGTGTGTCTTTATGTGGTTTGTGTATGAGAGTGGTCCTGGCTTTGTAGAAGGATTTGGGAGTGCTCCTTCTGTTTCCCTTTTTTCTTTTTTGAGTCGTTTAAGAAGAGTTGGCTGTAGATCTTGGAATGCTGGGTAGAATTCTGCTGTCATTCCATCTGTCTGTGAACACTTCTTTTAGCTAAAGACTTTTTATTACTGTCTCAGTCTCCTCATTTGTATGAGTCTGTTTTGATTGTTGGTCTCTTCTTATTTTAATTTTGACTGAAACTAGAAAACCTCCATTTCTTTTAGACTTTCCAGCTTCATGGAGTACAGGCTTCAAAAATATTCCCTTATAATAGTCTGAATTACTTTGGTGTCTGTTGCTGTTTCACTGTTCTCATTTCTGATTCTGTTAATTTTGGCAATCTCTTTCTTTCCTTCGTCTAGTTATGCCAAGAGTCTATCCATCTTATCTTCTCAAAGGACTAGCTCTTAGATTAGTGATTCCTAGCATTGTTTTGTTGTTGTTGTTCATTTCATTGATTTTTAATATATTTTATTTAAATTAGAAACAGTTTTACTTTACATATCAATCCCAGTTCCTTCTCCCTCCCAACCTCCTAAACCCTCCACCAACCACCTCCCCCATCCACTCCTCAGGGAGGGTGAGGCCTTCCATGAGG